TTTGCAACTTTACGTGATAAGCATGCCCTAGAAGCATGGATCTGTGACTTAGAACCGCTGCATGGCTCAAATCAGGACTGTATGGAAAAGGGACTGAATGGACTCGACGAGTCATATGAAGATAGCCTTGGACTCGACGAGTTGAATGAGAAACTCGGTGAGTCCGATGAAGATTGCCTTAGACTCGACGGGTTGTTCTACAACTCGGCCAGTCGGATGAGTTTTCCCGAGAAAAGTAGTGTTTGAGTGAAATGACTTCATTCCTTCGTAGTTACACGTAAAGTCAGCAACTTTACGTGTTCAGATGGTCCCAAGGGTTCAGATCTACGAGTTAGAGGCCCTGGAATGGATTAGAATTCGATTGCATGGAATCTACGTTCGGACTCGGCGAGTTATTCTTCAGACTCGACGAGTCGAGTCGCGAGTCCCTGTTTTCCCTTCGAGTTGTGAGTTCAAAGTGAATCAGTGAGTGGGAAAGTGGCAAGGTGAGTTAAATTCAGAGTTAGTAAAGGAGAGACTCGGTGAGTCTGCGCCCTGAATCGGCGAGTCCGGTCAACTGGAAGTTGACTTTAACCAGGGGTAATATAGTCATTTGACCCCAAGAGCATTTACCAGTAACTAATCTAGTGTTTCTGGAAATTATAGTCGGACAGTTCCGGAGCGGCGGTCAGCCACTTTTAGAGTTAGCATCACAACATCCATCACTACGAGGTGAGTTTTCCTTCTAGTAGGAATGGGTCTATGGCCACAAGTCAGTTCCGGACTTTGGTCCGATGTAGTAGTTCAGTGTGCTTGATTTCTTTGTGATTCAAGCATGTCTTTGTGTTATGTGTTCCGAACTTCTGTCCGATGCAGTGTGCAATATATGTATTTATGCTAGTTGATATGTTTATGCTATGCTATGTTATGCTTAGTCAGTTTCCGGAGTTCGGTCCGATGCAGGAGACAAGGTTCCAGTCAGTTTCGGATTTCGATCCGATGCAGTTTGTTCCGGACTTTGGAGCCTTTTATGATTAAAAACTTGAGTTATGGACTCTCCTTGGATGAAAACTTCAGATCTGGACTCTTATTGCATTCTAGAAGTATAAAGTTTCAGTTAAGGTCGTGATTGAAGTCCCTCTTGAGCTTGGAACCCCATTAAGAGCTTAGGGTTGGCATTTGAAGCCTTTAAAGCCATGCATGCCCGTAAAGTTTGCAACTTTACGTGATAAGCATGCCCTAGAAGCATGGATCTGTGACTTAGAACCGCTGCATGGCTCAAATCAGGACTGTATGGAAAAGGGACTGAATGGACTCGACGAGTCATATGAAGATAGCCTTGGACTCGACGAGTTGAATGAGAAACTCGGTGAGTCCGATGAAGATTGCCTTAGACTCGACGGGTTGTTCTACAACTCGGCCAGTCGGATGAGTTTTCCCGAGAAAAGTAGTGTTTGAGTGAAATGACTTCATTCCTTCGTAGTTACACGTAAAGTCAGCAACTTTACGTGTTCAGATGGTCCCAAGGGTTCAGATCTACGAGTTAGAGGCCCTGGAATGGATTAGAATTCGATTGCATGGAATCTACGTTCGGACTCGGCGAGTTATTCTTCAGACTCGACGAGTCGAGTCGCGAGTCCCTGTTTTCCCTTCGAGTTGTGAGTTCAAAGTGAATCAGTGAGTGGGAAAGTGGCAAGGTGAGTTAAATTCAGAGTTAGTAAAGGAGAGACTCGGTGAGTCTGCGCCCTGAATCGGCGAGTCCGGTCAACTGGAAGTTGACTTTAACCAGGGGTAATATAGTCATTTGACCCCAAGAGCATTTACCAGTAACTAATCTAGTGTTTCTGGAAATTATAGTCGGACAGTTCCGGAGCGGCGGGCAGCCACTTTTTGAGTTAGCATCACAACATCCATCACTACGAGGTGAGTTTTCCTTCTAGTAGGAACGGGTCTATGGCCACAAGTCAGTTCCGGACTTTGGTCCGATGTAGTAGTTCAGTGTGCTTGATTTCTTTGTGATTCAAGCATGTCTGTGTGTTATGTGTTCCGAACTTCTGTCCGATGCAGTGTGTAATATATGTGTTTATGCTAGTTGATATGTTTATGCTATGCTATGTTATGCTTAGTCAGTTTCCGGAGTTCGGTCCGATGCAGGAGACAAGGTTCCAATCAGTTTCGGATTTCGATCCGATGCAGTTAGTTCCGGACTTCGGTTCGATACAGGGGAAAAAGTCCCTGTCAGTTCTGGACTTCAATCTGATGCAGAGGGCAAGGCCCTGGTTAGTTCTGGACTTCGGTCCGATGCAGTTTTCGGACTTCGGTTCGATGCAGTGAGCAAGGCCTAATATGTTTTTATATGATTGTATGGTATGTGGTAGTCTGGGGGGGCTCACTAAGCTTTGTGCTTACAGTTTCAGTTTTGATTTTAGGTACTTCCGCAAGCAAAGGGAAGGGCTCGGGATGATGGCATTGCACACACCACAGCTTCAGCTTTTGTCTTGGGAGTTTATTTCATATACTATGATATATTGTTATAGTTCTTTTGTTATGACATCTTTATTATAACTTTTTGGGATTTATGACGTACGATTTTATGATATATTATAGATCGTTGATAACCTTAGTATTATTTAAACGAAAAAATTTTGAGTCGTATTTTGGGTTGTTACATTTGATTTGTTTCTAATTTTTATTATTTGTTTTTTGGTTTATGTGTATGTATTTACGTGTTCGATTATATGTTTTTGCGTTTAATTGTTTATGAGAATCTTACAATGGTTTCTTGAATGGATCTTGGGGAAAACCCTTTCTGATTGTTCGTAGAACTTGCATGTTCTGCATCATAATATATGGTTTGCTTTTTCTTGATAAACATATTAAAATTCTCGAGGCTTAAATAGGATTTTAAATTTTTTAACAAAGATGTATTGTTTGTGTTTAATATGTTTGTTAGATTCTATTTTGTTTTTTAAAAAACCAAAAATATTATTAATTGTATAATCAAAACATGATTTATTGTATGATCATGTTCAAAGTGAATTAAAGAAATAAATTATATTATGGTTATTATGTATTAATCTCTTATGACGATACGTAGAATGAAGATAATAAAATAGAAGGTAAATAGTTTTTATAGATGGGGAAGTAAAATTTCAAGTAATGTGTTGCGAGTAATTGTCAATTAATGAAAATTCAGTTTTGTTTTTTATTTTTTTCAAAATAAAATTTCACAACTTAAATGTTTTAAAAGTTCTGACAATCATTATTTACAATAATTATTAAACCTAGCAATCAAACACGGTTGATCTTAAATTGAAAACTTATTTTCTTCGTTCCATTAACAAAATATGGTATGTAAAATTAAAAAGTAGTTTAAGCAACTAACAAAATTAAGTGCATCATCTCTTTCAAAAAAAAATTAAGTCCATTATTACATAAAACAAACACTTCAATAGAGATGATTTATTAAACATCAATATAATATATGCTGATAGCAATTATATTAATAATCGATAAAAAAAAACAATATATTATTTGCATTGATTGTCTAATTAATTAATAAAAAAACAAAATTCTAAGTTGAATGATGGCATCATAAGAAAAGTATCATGGAGAGAATTTTTCATATACTCAAAAAAGATATTGAAAATATAAATAGAACATCACATTGCTTCACCTTCACCCTTACCATTTAAATGTAAATGTAGGTGAAATGGGATGTAGTCTTAAAGAAAAAAAAAATGAGAAACCTAAAAAGCCAAGATATACAATGAATCATGTTTCGTATTTTATTGATTGAATACAACTAGATGGGAATCATGCGTGCCCATTGGTGCTGAATCATTTTATTTTTTAATTTATGTCAGTTTTTTATTATCTAAATCCACACCCTAAAAAATTTTCATTCAAATCCTCGCGAATGTTTTTATAACTTTCTATGAGGTTTTAAATAAAGAGAACATAAGAGTAAAGATTGCCCATAACCAATTTGCAAGTAGTAATATCAAATGATCGCAACTTTAGTTTCCATAGAAACAACCAAGAAATGAGAGTTTTGATGAGTAAAGAATGTGTACTTACCATAATTGAAAACAAACTATTCATGACACTTGTGAATAAAAGGGCAAAATTGTTATTTCATAAAAATGACAAAATGGGAAGACTAATATAAGATCATATTTATAAATTATACCAATGAACAAATGACATAACGAAGGATGCGGGCTTTGGTTTTTTCTTGTAGGATCCAAATAACAGCAAGAAAGATAATAAATCCTGTGGGAAAATGTAATTTTTAAAATTATTTACTTTTTTTGGTAAATAAATATAAAAAAGTCATAAAAATCTGAAGTCAAAGAATACAGATCAATGCAAAGTCGATATATTCAAATTACAAAATTTTAAAACTTAAATAATTGTTGAAAATAATAAAATTCGAATAAAATAAAGCAATAAGCAAGTCCCCAAAGAACTGTACGCTGCACCAGATCATAAAGCATAAGATACCAGTGGGCAAAGGGTATTTCAATCATTTTCATAAATGAGAGAATGCCTACCGGGATACGTTTTTTTCATATATATATATATATATATATATATATATATATATATATATATATATATATATATATATATATATATATATATATATATATGTATATATATATATATATATATATATATATATATATATATATATATATATATATGTATATATATACCTGCTTGTTGGGCTTTTGTTCAAGCCAAATTACAGTCGTATTCTATTCGGGATGAAATCACCTCCATCAGCAGTAACAACTCCATAGTAGCAATAGTATGGCCCTACCTGCTGCTGCCGTGACGAGTAAATGCAAACTAAAAATGTTGCAAAAAGTAAGAAAACGCAACTAAGAATATACATATGCAAGTTCTCATCTTTCATGAAAATTTAATAACAATGTATAATTAAGAATAACATAAGCAAATTCGATATACCGATGGCTTGAAATGTTCTCCAAATCTTCTAAGCTCCGGTTACATCAACTTCGACAAATCTTCTCATTCACATGTTCTTTTTCATTTTCTTCAAATTGGCTCCTGTTTTTTGCAAATTCATCAAGAATAACACTGTAACAAACAATAATCATAATGTTAATAACTATAACCAAAAAGAAATCAAGATTGATTTATTTTGAGTAGTTTTCTTTCTACCTATCAACACCTTTACAGAGTAAAAGATGGTTCCCGAATTCCTCATGATCAATAACAGACATTCTTTTACTTGCACTGTTGAACTCAAGAACATTTAAAAGCTCATATATCCTGCAAATAAACAATATAAAGATTATTGATTTACAATTTTTTAGAATTTTTTCAAGATTTGATACCAAAATTTAAAAAAGGGTAAAAAGGAAGAAATAAAAATATTAGCTATCGACTTTTTTCTTGGATATAGGATCCAACTCGATAAAAAAAACTGTTGTTTGTGTCTTTTTATAAAATTGGAATCCAAGTTCTCTTGCAGATATTTCATCAGTGGATTTAGCTTCATAAGTAATGATCCCTGTTTCTCAACCATCAAATTTTCAGAGGATTTCCAGTCTTTGTACTTTATCATTTTCTTTGTTTACACAACTAACTGTGTGTGAATAGTTAATGTACAAAAAGAAAATTAAAATAAACAAAAGGTAAATCAGGTCAATGGTGCATGAAGTGCAATGAAGTAAGTTAAAACAGAAGCCCGGGAGATGCAAATATTGTCTTAAAAAGGAACGAAAGCAGAAAAATTTAAAAAAACAAATACAAAATAATTAATAAAAACACCTCTTGCTTCACTGATATCTGTTGAAAACGGTAGATAAAAGTAGTAGATGGTAGAAACAATTCTTTGAATCCTACAAAAAAAACATATGAAAGCACAAAGTTTAAGCCATATTTATTTACATCATAAAAAGAGGAAGAAAATGAACCGAAAGAAAGAGGGTTAGGGTTCAATACACATAGCCGATTGACCAATTGGAAAAGAATCTGACCACCATCCATTGACCAGATTGATATACCTCAACTTTCTCAATGACACCATGTTCTTCAAAAACCTTCTGGAGTTCATCATTGTTTGTTGTGCGAGGGATGTTACCAACATATAGTTGTCTGGCAGCTTTTGACGACGGGTCGACAGTGACCACTGCCACGACTGTTTCCTCAGTATCTGATTTGGGCACCATTCGAATAATCTTTCACCTCCATCTCAACCACCGCCAAATCGCTCCGGTCCTTCTTCAACTCCCATTATTTTATCGATACTTCCACCCTCCATATCTTTATCTGCAACACCCACGGGGCACATAAATCGAAATCAAGGATAAGCCTTACCCAAATTTTAAGGCGACATGAATAAAAAAATATAAGCTTTTAAAACAAAAGCATATGTGGCGAAAGTAGGAAAGGAAGGAAAAAAAAGGATAGAAATGAGAAATGCAAAAGTTTCCTGAAATCAAAGATGAGCCTTACTCAAATTTTAAGGCGGCATGAATAAAAAATATAAGTTTTTAAAACAAAAGCATATGTGGCAAAAGTAGGAAAGGAAGAGGAAAAAAAAACACAAATGAGAAATGCAAAAGTTTCCTATTCACCACCATTTTAGCAATTAATAGTATATATAATTACGAAACTACATAGATAAACATGGAAAATTAAGATTTATTTATATTTTTTTAGTATAATAATGTTAAAATTCATAAAATGAACCAAAAGTTATATAATTTTATAAGTTTATATAAAAAAATTTAATTGTTTAGTTTTAAAATAATAATAATAATAACTCTCATATAAAATTTATATTAACGAATAGAGGTTACAATAAGATTATCACAAGTACGATAATGATATTTTAATATAAAGTTATTAATTGAATGATGGTATGACTAAAGATAATTAATTACCTTGGCTTGGAAAAATATTTTAAGTCTATTTGAGCAATAATTTTAAAATTGAAGTATTTGAAAATTTAAAATTTTAAAATTTTAAATTTAGTATAATATTTTAAGAATGAAATTTAAAAATTTTAAAAATTTAAAATTTCAAATTTTGGTGTAGTATTTGAAAACTAAAAAAAATTAAGATTTTAAAATATTTCCAGCCTATGACCGCCAATGGCCGTCAAACCCGATTTCGATCAATTTCCGCCAAACACCATAACTGTAATCGGTTCAAGGCTGCCAAATGATTAATCGCCGAATAATTGGCCGTGAAGGCCGATTTTTACAACACTGGAAAAAACTAATCGTTACCGCTGAAAGAAAGTTACCTTACAAAATGGTATTATTTGATGTTGGCCGAAAGGAAACTGATCGTCGCCAGAACCTAATCATCGAAATAAAACTAATGGCCGCCCGCTACATTGCATGGGTACCCTACTAGTATATATATATATATATATATATATATATATATATATATATATTATATATATATATATATATATATATATATAGGGCTAGGTTCATGTGAGACGGTCTAATTTTGTGAGACCGTGAGACGCATTTTTTTATTTTTCTTATTTTTTAAAAAATTTTTTTTGTTAATTCAGGTTTCGAAAATAATATTGAAAAAAAGAATTTTTTGATTTTTCCATTTATTTTGCATTTTAAAATTATTTTTAGAATATGTACAGTGTAATATTCTATTTAGAATATTTCACATATTTTTAAAAAAAATAGGATTTTTTTTTATGTTTTTTAGTTAATTCAAGTTCCGAAAATAATATTTAAAAAAAGAATTTTTTTATTTTTCCATTTATTTTGCATTTTAAAATTATTTTTTAGAATATGTCACTGTAATATTGTATTTAGAAGATTTCACGTATTTTTCAAAAAAAAAAAAAAAAAAAACGAGATTTTTTTTAATTTTTTTTAAAGTTTTTTTTAGTTAATTCAAGTTCCGAAAATAATATTTAAAAAAGAATTTTTGGATTTTTCCATTTATTTTACATTTTAAAATTATTTTTAGATTTGGTCTCACGGTCTCACAAAATTAGAATGGTCTCAAATAAACCTTTATATATATATATATATATATATATATATATATATATATATATATATATATATATTATATATATATATATATATATATATATATATATATATATATATATATCAAGTGTGTTTATAATAATTTTTTATACAAATTAAGATGAAAATCGTGTCTAGTAAAAGCAGATAAATGGAGTCAATTCATAGATTGTTCGAAAGGATTTCTCAAAGATATATCGAGTTGAAAAAAAAAAATAGTTTTCCCTATTTTATACAATGTGTAAGGTGGCTTTTGCTTGGAGGGTACGATAAAAGCACATATCCACAATGCGATTTTCACCTTCATGCGACGTGGTTTAAGTTGGCCAAAGTTTTTTTTTCTATAAATAAGATTTTTTGATTTTACCTGATAACATGCCGTTGTTATTAAAATGTTTAAAATCAATTAATTTGAATTAAAATTAAGAAAAGGGTATCAAGGTAATTAATCATTCCCTTATTTTAAACAACTCCTAAAATCTCTCTCTCTCTCTCTCTCTCTCTCTCTTCTCTCTCTCTCTCTCTCTCTCTCTCTCTCTCTCTCTCTCTCTCTCTGTGTATATACCTAAACCTCCGATTTTATCATTCACTCCATTATTTTCCACTTGTGTCGCCGCCATCCACGAACCAGTTTCACAGTCAGAGAATGAAAAAGCATCGCCTCTGCCTTCGCCACCATGATCGCCGATGATAGCCACCATCTCGCACGATAAAACCCTGATTACGCTTCTATATCCAACCATCTTTATAATCCAATGTCTCCTCCATTCGTGAGTACCAGACCTTTCAACATCATAGGGTTATCGGTTGTTAGACCTCCTCTGTCGAAAGCAAGTGAATGAAATTGACGAGGAAGGATAGTTGGGTATCGCCTCCAGCAAAGCAACAATCCGACTGAAACCTACACAGCAACCTCAAGTCTCTGGTGGCCACAATGGCTTTAGTAATCGTTGACAAAACTGACACAGCAACCTTAAGTCTGCGACGATCTGTGATTTTTTGAGTTATCTGGTGATTTTTTTGATCTCATGAGCCGTGTCTAGAGAAGAGGGTATGCTCTATTGATTGAGTTTTCTTGTTACTGCCAATTTGTTCATACTTTCTGATAAACCAATTATCTACCTTCCCATATGCTTTAATCAGTCAATTTCATCATATTTTTAATCAATTTTGAGAATGGCGGACGGGTCATCATCAGTTGTGTTCTTTATAATCACTCATGATTATAAACATGGTTGTACCTATGATTAAAAAATGCTAAGTTTATCTCCAAAAATCGTAGTGTTGGTTTTGTTTTCTGTAAATTTTGAAACTATGTAAGTATCAAATTTGGTGTAATTATCACAGCTTAAAACAATTAAGAACTCAATGGGAATTAGCTTCAATTTTGTGTTCATTCTCCGATTAGGATCTTGTATGAAGATGAAACTTGGAAGACCTCTTTGAAATCAATCTATCATGTTTGGCTGCTTGTTTACATATGTAGTTGCAATTGGTGTCATGAGCAGTTCTTCTTGCTAATCTGATAACTGTTGGAACCGATGTACTTTTCTTTTACACTCAGTAACTTGTTACAAGTCACAAACCCTTTATATTTCATAGTTAATAGTTAATACACAATGCATTGGTTATATGAATATCTTCCATTTGCAGTTAATCATCAATGAATCTATCAATAAGTATTTAGTTGTAATCTTATATGAATACAATGTCACATGTCTCATTTGCAGTTATTCATCAATGAATACTCCATGAGGCTGGTTCAAGAGGAGCAAGGAAAGCAGCTACGGCAATGCAGGGAACGGAGAATAAGAAATGATTGTAATTATAGTACTAGTTTCCGTATCAAAAAAATATATATTGTAACTTATTCATTTACTATTATAATTATATTGTTATAAGAATAGAATGTGTTTTATTTATTTATATATGAGTATCATTTTAGTTGATTTTATAATCTTTTTTCG